CCCGGGCCGTGGGGGGCGGAGCCGCGGGAGGAGGAGGAGTCGGGGAGCGGCCGCCCGAGGACCACTGCTAGCCCAGGCTGCGGAGTAGCGACGCCGGCCGCACGACTGCAGCCCCGCGCCCCCGACCGCCAGCATGATTGCCGCGCAGCTCCTGGCCTATTACTTCACGGAGCTGAAGGATGACCAAGTCAAAAAGGTGAGCGTCCGCCCGCGCCGCCACCCGGCGCCCCGGCCGCCCCTCTGCATTCCGGGAGCCGCTCGCCGCCGCGGTCTCCATCCTCCAGACTGCCCGAGGCCGGCAGTCTGTGGGCTGCTGCTGGTGGGGAAAGGCTGCGCCCTTTGATTCTCCCCGCATTGTCGGGGTGTGTGTGTGTGTTTGGAGGCGGTGGGAGAACCCCCGAGCTGGGTTGCTTGTTGTGGCAGTGTCCTTGAAACGGGTTGTGGATGTCAGAGGGGCCCCTGGGTCATGCGGGGAGGTGTCTGGAGGGGGACCGCAGGGCCATTTTGGAAGGGTCCGAGTGCAGTGGGCGGAGGAGTGATGGCAGAGATGCTGGGAGGTGAGCGCGCAGCCGGCTCGAGCTCTGGCTAGCGGCCAGGCATCCCATATTTGGGGTTCTTGGCGGAGGGCGTCTGGTGTCGGGAGAAATTGTCACCCGGGCTCTCAGCTGTTGCGGCTGCTCGTTAATCTGAGGTCCTTAATCTGAGGACCGGGTGACCTGCTCAGCTTCCCGGAACGGGGAGGGGCCCAGAGGCCACCGGAAACTTTGCTCACAGGCCTCGGGTCTGGAGCAGCATGTCTGAATGGAATTTTTTATTCTTGTACGTGACCATCGCTTAAACCGTAATTTCCAGTCAGCCCAGGAGCTCAAATACCATACCGGTCATTTGAGTTGGACGGAGACCTTGACATGCATGCATGTAACATGTGTGTACTCACACAAGGGTGCATCTCCCTGCCCTGGGTTGTTACTGACTTTAACATCTGCCAGGTGGCAGGTCTTAAAGGTCTGTCTCTCCTCTGGGCCAGCTTTGCCACCATGTTTTTCAGAAACAGTCTAGGCCTAGGGAAAGATGCCCATTTTATCAGTGCCCCGCCTTGCATAGGCTGTTGACCCACCCACATCCCAAAGGTGAGACCATGTTGTTGAAATAAACTGGTTATTACTGAGGTAACTAGAAAGAACTAGCAGTCACCCTGACTTTGGAACTCAAACAAGAGAGTACTACCTACAGGTGAGAGGCAGGCGCCATAGGCCTGGATTTTCTGTCCTGGGAGCCACAAGATGTTCCCTCCTCTACCTCCCCCCACTAGCACAATAGGGAATGAATCTGCTGAGGGCAACAACCTCATCAAGGTCACCCTGAATGAGCGCCAGAGCCAGGGCGGGACCCAGGTCTGCACCACCCTCCACTGAGAACTTGATTGAGGCTTCTCCAGCTGAGGCGTTGGGGTGCTGAGTCAAAGACCTTGGGGCTGTTGCTGGGGTCCCAGATCCTGCGCTGAGAAGAAGCAGAATAGGGTAGTTGGGGATCTGCCGTGGCCTCTTGGAGCTTTAAGTGATGGGGCCCTGGCATTGGCAGCCGTGCCCCAGTGCCACATCCTGAAGCTTGCGTCTGGCCGCTGAGCTCGGGGAGCTTGCATGCCCCACTTGCATTTCATGACTTTCCCTCGTTGGTGAACATCAGGATGTTCTTCGCGTTTCACAGTGGGGAGGTTAAGGGGTGGAGGAGTTCCCTGCTCTCCTCCTGCACGTGGTGCCCTCTAGCTCTCAAGACAGCCCACGGCTGGGGTGGGGACCCTGTGGCCTCCAGGGACAGCCGGGCTGAGGTTTGGGCTGTGTCCTGTTTTCTCAGGCATCCTGTGTCTAGAGCCCTCCGCGTGCCTTGGTGTCTGACTTACCCCTGTCTGTTCACATTCTACCTGCCAGATTCCTGTTAGTGCTGAGTGTGTGACTTCTGAATCCATTGATCCTCAAGTCCCTTCTTCCTCCTCTGAGACATTCCCACCCTACTCTCCTCTGGTCTTAGAACCCAGCAGGAGGAGGGTGTTGAGGCTAGATCTTCCACCAGATAACATGGTCTGTCAAGCAATTTCTTTAAAACAAGATGCCTTTCTTGCACCTTACCCCAGGAACTTCTTCTGTTGCTTTCCTAGGAGGGAATACCTGGATTTCTGCTGGGGGATCCCCTGGATGGATGGACTAGTGCCACGGCCATCCATGGGCGCGGTTCCTGGGAAGCTTCCTGGGCCTCCTGAGTGCATAGAGGGTGCTTGTTCCCATGACCTAGTGAGCTTGATTCCTGTCCTGCCAGACTACCTCTGCTCTATTGGGACTCAGTAGTCGTGAGAGATCAGCCCTTCCAACCCACTGCTAGCTTGGGAAAGGTTCAATGGGGATGCGGGACGGTAAGTCCTGCTTTTCCTTTGGAAGTGGGGTCCCACCTGCCACCTGGCTGGGATCCAGTTGTGAGGACAGCGTACCCCCAGACCTTCCTGCATGGGCAGCCATGATGATTCAGCCCTCTCGCCCTAGGCAGCCTCCAGAGTTCTCTATGCAGTCCTGGTATCCCCCATCTGGTTTGCTGAGGATGTAAAAGTGATCATGAGAAAGGTCTAATTTCTCTCCTCATTGCCTATGAGACACGTTGGTAATTCAACCTCATAAATATATTCTACATTGAAGTAGGTCAAATGTCTAGATTTATTGCATGAAACTCTGTTTTCTCGACTGTGTCTGCATAATCTTGATTAATAGGGCACTGTTAATTTAAAAGGGTGCCCTGGCGTTAGACTGAACTAAGGATAACATACATTTTCCTTTGGTTCTTCTAGTGCTTTTGGGAAGCAAGGGGGGCGCATGTGTGCTTGTGAAAATTCCCATTCATCAGCATCCCAGATAGCTGTTAACTGCAGCTACAGGCTGCGTCCTTTGGCCTCCAAGAAACACCCCATGCCTGTTGCCGGCTCAGTCTCGCCACCCAGCCTGCAGGAGGGGTTATGGGTCGCACAGTGCACCGTTTCTCTGGGAAGGAAGATGGGTCAGAACTTGCCTCCGAGAGACGGGACTTCCTTCCTCCAGTGTCGTCATTGGGATGGATTTCAGAGTGGCATTTGCAGAAATGCCAGTGCGTTTACTTTGGGTGGGAATGCCTGCGACTCCATGGTCCCCTCTCGCAGGTGAAGGACAGGTGCGACCCGTCCAGCAGCCTCATCCTTGTGAATCTTCATTTCATTATCCCAGTCCCTTGTGCTTTGGGTGTCCCTGGGACTGCTCCTCCGATAGCAGCCCAGCACTTCTGTTGGTTTGATAATTTGGGACTGTCGTGAGGGAATAAACTAGGAAAGTGGGTGGGTGTGGCGAATTTCACATCTGGCCCCCTGCGCCGTCCTCACTGTCCTCCCACCATCCTGCTGTTTTCTGGAGCAAGCTCGTGCAGCTTTATCCTGAACACTGATTCGGTGTGACTGGGACTGTCTCTGCGTGTGTCTGCAGCGTGGATTCCTGCCTGAGGGAATTAGCCCCTGGAACCAGCTCCGAGCAGCCTGGGAGGCTGCGCTGCGGGAGACGCTGGACAGAGGGTAGCCTAGTGCCCACATCCGGGGAGCAGTGGTGGTGAGACTGCTGGCACCCGGATATTCATTTGAGGACCTTTGGAATCTATCCCATCATGGAGACTCAATGGTTTCTTTAGAGAGTGTTTGAGTCCTTTACTATGTGCAGAGTACATCACTGTACTTTATTATAGGCTGGACTGGGATGACAGCTAAAAATGAGGCACAAGGCAGAAATAGTCTTTCTTCTCATGGAGTATACTTTGCCGTTTTCTGGTAAGTGCCAAGTATAGAGGCTGTGAGAGCCTGCGGTGGTTGGAGCTCATGTGAAATCACTTGCTTGGGAGTTGCTTGAGACCAGGTTCTAGAAGTACATGTGGAACCCTACTTAGAAGCCGTGTCAGGGAGAGTCGAATGGAGTTACCAAGATGAAGTTTGACTTTTGTCTTTTTATTTTAATTCACTAATTGTTTGATTTTTCTCTATTTTATTCATTTTAGTTTTGGACGTAAAAAAAAAAATTAAATCCCAAACACTTTATGGATATCCTATCAATTTTGTTTATGTATGTACAGCTCTACCTACCTATTTTTTTTTAAAGATTTATTTATTTATGCATACAAGAACTGGGTACAGACCAGAGGTGCAGGGTGGGAGAGTTTTCACCAGAGGCAGAGTGGGGAGCAGAATAGGCAGATTGACTGAAATACACTGCTGAGGGGAGCAGTGGGCGAGTCAGGAGAGGTCTGCCGCACCATGTGTGTCACCTCCCTGGCCAGGAATCGAACTCATGCTATAGTGGGTGTGGATAACTTCAGAGTGTGCTGAGCTTTAACCATTTGCTGTGCCAGGGAGGGCCCTACCTACCTATCTTTTAACTATCAATTATCTTTCAGTTTATCTAACAATCTAATAGCACACACAAACATATTACTGTGCATGTGTGATCTTTACTAAGCCTCCGTGAGGCTGTCACAGGTAGTATTATTCCTGAACCCCCAGAGCAGCTCCTCCCCTGGGCAACCTATTGCCTAACATGTGTGCTTAGACAGAGGTTTCATTCCCCATTTAGAAACAGGTCTGGAGCCCCAGAGGAGAACCTTGACTTTCCTAAGGTCTTAAGAAAATCTGGCATAGAATCCAGAGGGTTGTTCTTGCCCGCTCTGTTTCTTTCCTCTGGAAGAAAAACCCTTCTTCGTTGGTTTTAATGATTTACCTTGGAATCTATATTTTAACTCTCCCACAAATCAATACACATGAGTTAATTTTTTATTATAAGCTAATTCGAGGTACATAAAAAGTATTGAGGTAGATATATCACAGACATCTGTGTATCCAAGACTGGACTTGAGAAATAACAGACACAATTGCAGTTGTATTACAAGTACAATTGCTACACTCCTTCAGTTCTAGACTTCATCCCCAACCTTTGTACTGAATTTGGTGTTTATCAGTTCTATGCATGGTTTTATACTTATATTATGAATCCTGCATTGTAAATGATATATACTATTACTTCATGTGGCTGTAATCTCTTATAAGTGGTGCTGTACTGGATGCATTCTTCAGCAACATGTGCTTTTTAGCTCAGTATTCTTTGTCAAGGAATTTCCCTCATCGATGCACTTACTTGTTTCCTTTAA